CAACACCGCCTAGACCGCCACAATCACCACCAAGACTACCAAGACCATGGAGACCACCAAGACCGGACCGCCTGGGTGGTCCGGTCTTGGTGTCTCGGTGGTCTTGGTCGTTTTGGTGCTCCCGGTAGTCTTGTACTTGGTGGTGATTGTGGCAGTCTAGGCGGTGTTGGTGGTGCTCGGTGGCCTTGGTGGTCCGGTCTTGTCTTGGTGGTCCCGGTGGTCTTGGTGGTGATTGTGGAAGTCTGCTCTTGGTGGTCTTGGGGGTGCTGGTGGCCTTGGTGGTCTTGGTCACTGGGACCACCAAGACCACCAACAACACCACCAACACCGCCTAGACCACCACAATCACCGCCAAGACCACCGGGACCACCAAGACTACCAAGACCACCAGACCACGGAGACCACCAAGACCACCAAGGCCACCGAGACGCCCAAGACGACAAAGAGCACCACCAACACCGCCAAGACCGCCACAATCACCACCAAGACCACCAACACCACCAAGACCACCAACACCACTGACCAAGACCACCACCACCAAGGCCACCAGGACCACCAAGACCATGGAGACCACCAAGGCCGGACCACCAAGACCACCAACGCCACCGGGACCCCCCAAGACCACCAAGAGCACCACCAACACCGCCTAGACCGCCACAATCACAACCAAGACCACCGGGACCACCAAGACCACAAGACCGGACCACCAAGGCCACCAACACCGCCTAGCCCACCACAATCACCACCAAGACCACCGGGACCACCAAGGCCACCGAGACACCAAGACCGGACCACCAAGGCCAGCGGGACCACCAAGAGCGCCACCAACACCGCCTAGACCACCACCAATACCACCGGGACCACCAAGACTATCAAGAGCACCACCAACACCGCCTAGACCGCCACAATCAGCACCAAGACCACCGGGACTACCAAGACTAAAGTAGTTTGAGCGAGATACTGTGACATGACATGACCTTCTACTTAAGTAGTCGAAACGAGATAGGGCCTCCACATAGTAGATAGTGCGTTTGAGCTCAGTACCAAATGAATGCCGCCGCACATATGTAAGCTGACCGTATATTTAAATCGTACCGTATGTTCATTCCGTATGTTTAAAGGGTCGGGCCGGGCTGGCAAAAACCTTGCCGGAGGTAGTCTAAAATACCTGTTCACCTGTTTAATAAATCGTATATTTAAAAAGCGATACCGTATAGTAATATATACAGAAGGTCCAGAATTTATCGGCAAAATGTCTTTGACTAGTCCTTAGGCCTTTTGTGGGGTTGAGCTATTCAGGGGTTATCCAGGGGTTACCCCAAAACCCTTTGGCCTTGCAGATTCCCCCCTATCCAGGACTAATCCAGGGCCCCCAAAAGTGATCAATTGTGGCGCCCGCCCGAAAGGTTCCCAAACTGATTAATGATGGTTCATTGGCTGGTAGGCTCCTTGACTCCTTGCAGCCAATGCCAACTGAAAAACCTGAATTCCATTCCTCTTTCCTTCCATCAAACAACACCATGAGCAACAACATTTGCTGACAGCGCGCAGGCACTCGGATGGTTAAAATCTACCACACCAAAAACAATGCGCAGGTTTGTTTGGGAGGGGGGCTGATCTGAATCTGATTTTCATTTGATAGCTTAGTCACCCTCTAACAAGGCCTTAGTCAGAAGGTCTATAGCCCCCCCGAGGTCCCCGTGATCTAAGGGGCTGTTCTTTTGAACCCCTTAGCACCCTTGTGTCTAAGGAACTGGGTGATGGAGGGGCGGAGATGGGGAGTTCGAAGAGGGGAACTGAAAGTTGAGAGACTTACCCAGACACTCGGTGTATGGCATATGGTCAAAGCCGATATGGACTGTTTGGGACAATTCCTCGTCAATTTCTAGGCACACGGACACCCGAACCTGTGATCAGATGGCGCCCTACATGCACCCCCGTTTGTTCAACCACCCCTGGCCTGTTTCGACACATGGTCCGCCGAGCTTTTCGTGGGAGCTCAACCTCGCCGAGCTGGTCGCCTCGCCTGTGTTTCAGGCGAAACAGAGGCCACCGCAACCCTTGAGTTTCTTGGATGTGATCAAAGCCTCCAGTTGTTTGGAGGGCCTAGCGCAGCTGGTGCACGAGGAGCGTTTCGTCTGCGAATCTTCCTTCAGTTCGGTCGGACCACCAATCCCACGCGCGGTGGACATGCGGTTCCCCGCCAGTATCCTCCAACAGGTCAAACATTGAAAAGGAGGCTTGTTGGAGGATGCTGGCGGAGCCGCTGTGGATGGAACCAACGCCGAACCGACCGTCGGGTGGTAAGGCGGGGCCGAGCGGTGCACTTTTGCACCGTGACTGGGCGCGCAGTGGATATGTCGGGTGTGTGTGGCCATGTAGAAGCCAACACTCCATAAGACTGGCACATTTACAGACATGGGGGTGGGTGAAAAGGGGGTCAATGTCGGTAAATCTTCCAGTCTCATCGGTGGTGTTTTTTGGTGGATGACGGCCACCGCGAAGCTCTGAACATGCAATCTTGGAGATGGAGCAGATTTCAGGAAGACATGTCCATCCTAGGGCCATAGGGGATCCAGTTACCACTGTAACTGTTGTAACTTATAACTGCCATGTGGTTCCAAAGACCAAAACCACTGACAGTAACGAACTCCTGGTGATTTTTCTTCAAAACTCATATATATATATATACCAGCAGTCACAAAGGGGTGCTTAATGGAGGTTAGGGGTGCCCATTATCCACTCACTTAGGGACTAAACACCACCCCTTTGTGACTCCTGGGGTATTCCCTTTCCAGTGTAGGTTCTGTCCAGACCTCCTCTCCAGGCAGGAGGGTTTTGTCGGCCCTGGGTGTTGATTCATCAAATCAACCCATGCACAGGGATTTTACAATCCATCCAGACACTGCATGGGACGGGCATGTTTGCCTACATTGGGATGGCTTTTTTCGGGTTATTCTATAGCGGCATTTATTCCATAAATGGAGTGTCGGACCAACGGTATGCATTACGAGCAGCTCATGGTGCAGCATCACCTGGTTCAGCACAGCGAGATCCTTCTGAAGAAGCTGGCTCAGAGCAGCGTTAGGTCGCCGCGTTGGGTCTTCTGTTCGAGTTTGCCTTTTTTCGCATCTCTTCGAGTGAAAAGCGCCTGACTTGGGCGATCTCAAGTCCGTTTCGCGCACCATGTCAGTCCAAGCGCAGAGTCTGCAGGGCTTGGAGGATTGCAACCCATCCAGTACCAATCATCCAACCAGCTGCTGCCTGTGCAGGCTCGGGTTCAAGACGTGTTTTTTTCTGGTTGAGTGAAATGTCCGGTTTGAGGTTTGTGGTTTGTTATTTGGTGTTTTCTGGTTTGTGGTTGTGGACATTCATGGTGAATGGACAGGTGAATCTGTGAGGTTTGTGGTTGAAATGGACAGGCTGTCCGTCCGTGGACAGGCTGTCGGTGTTAACAAGGAAGTCATCAAGCAGCCGTCAAGCTGCTGTTTGCTGGATGTTTGCCCAGCTTCCATGTTAGTGTGTGTGCGTTTCTTGCATGAGCTACATGTTCCACATGCTGGTTGAAGTGATGTCTTGGCTTCCATGTTAGCGTGTTTCTTGTAGATGGCCACAATTGTGCACCTTCCATGTTAGTATATATGGTAGACATCGTGTTTTGGGGTTATGCTAGTACACACATTTGAGTTCTCAGGTTATAATCTAAAATATGGCTTTTACTTGGGGTGATTGGAACCACTCACACATATTGTTCAAGTGAGTTGAAACCACCAGCCAGAATCCCTTGGTTTTTTGTTCCAAAAGAAACGGGACCAGAACAATTTTTTACGGGAAGCGGGTTGCCTCTTGTGTCAACCAACTGTTTCAGAAACTTTTATGCTGGAGATGCAGCGGTGAATTCCTTGGAGATGACTTTCAGGACTTCAATTTAATATGGCCATGAGACACCGCCATTTAGATTGTAAGACCTCTTCAGAAGGTTTTTTTATAGTGGGTTCAGAGTAGATGGCACAAACCCCGAAGGGTTGTGCGATCTACTGTGAAACCAATATGTAATCACGCACGATCACGCATCTACATCGGACCAAGCAAACTCAGATCGGACCAAGCAGAGCTAGCTTGGCCGTTGCTTCTTGCACGCGTTTGAATGTTTGGTGTGCAGGCAGCAGAAGCTGGAACGGCCCGACTCCGGTCACCATGGTGCGAAGTGTGAGTTTTGTCGCCTGGATTGATTCAGAAGGCTTCTGAACTGGACAAACACCCGACCCCACTAGAATAAAATCATACAACATCTCTGTGTTTCCCGTAAAGTCAGAAAAGTCAACATGATTAAAATTGAAGAGTCCAATGAAACAAGGGACCGAGATGCGTCGTTGGATTGGAGATGCTTGTTAGTGCTGACATTCCTGAGGTCATGCCGAGCACAAGAGGCCCAAGCATCGTAGCCAGAGGGGGCGCCACCACTTACAGAGGAAGGAATACCAAGAGCTGCGCGAACACATGCCAGCGAAACTTGCAGAGATCATTGACCTAATCTACTTCGTGACCAATGGCGAGCAACAAAAAGTCAAGAAGTTCATGCAGTACTTGAAAACCGTCCTTGAGAAGTTCCAGGAAGCTGTTGAAGTGAAAGTCCTGGCTGCCGTGAACAACATTGGCCAGCAAGCACAGTGTTTGCGGCCTGACAACGCTCGTGTGCGAAGGACCTGCGAACCAGGTGTAGGTGAAAAGCGAGTTGATTTGGCCAGCCGCTACAAATGGCTCAGTGGTACTTTGCACCTCCTGGTGCGGAAACTCTTTGAGAGCAAAGAGCAAAGTGAGGTCGCTAGGCTGGAACTGATCCAAAAGCATGTGGAGATTTGTCTTCATCAACTTTCAGAAGAGACAAAAAGGCTGGAACAGCTCGCTGCTCAGCTTGGGGAGGCCCTTGAGCGCGTCCGACAGAGCTTGGGAGAGCCTGACGCATCAGCGGATGCATGGCTGGCGCAAAGGATCTTTCGAGGCGCATGTGAAGAGATCCGAGAGGGACACTTTGATCTAGAATCGTTGAAAGAACTATGTGCAGATGCCAGTCGTTTGCTCTTGGACAAAATACTTGATGAGAGAAGGACGCAAATGCAGGAGGCTGTCAGCCTTAAAGACTTGCTGCAGCTTGTGCAGGAGGAGTTGAAAGAACAATCCAAGGACATTTTGCCAGATGAAGAGTAACAAGGGTGGAGTGAGGCAGTGTCCATCGTGTTTGCTCTTGGATCATTGGGGAGCGTCCTTGGGTCAGTCATATAGTCATAGTCATGGCTGCAGGCATTCTAGTACGCTTGCCTGTGGCAGACCGGACACTTTGATATCTTGGGGAACTGTACAGCTCATCAATGCTGCTCGTCCTTTTGTCTTCCCCAAAGTCTACCGCTCAGCTGCATTTGCTGCCCCCCTGTGCCCAAGCTTTTCACGTTTAGGGCTTGGAGTTGCGGGGCAGCTTTTGCTTTGGTACATTGGTACCTCTCACTGCAGCACAGCAGCGTGGTGGTGGGAAAAGGCGTGCTTTTCACGTGCCATGAGCACACATATTAACCACGATAAACCCTAGAAGTCCACAGACAATATGTTGCCTCAGTGAAGTAAAGGAAGTTCCATTTCGTGCCACCTAAAGACCATTCTTTGTATAGTTTTTGACTCCCAGGGTGTCTGAAGATTTCCGAAGTATCCCGAAGTCTCTATGTGATTCCACCAGAGGTTTAAAGCACTTATAGATAGCCTTTGCGCCTTCCCACCGCATGGCGTAGTTCCAGGCATGTGTGTGGAGTTTTTGACTAGCAGCCTAGTAGCATAATGCCAAAAATCGACTGCCACGAAGGCGGCACACGAAGCTTTCCGGACTCAGATGTTTTGCCGATATGGTGCTTCCTTGCCTCAATGTGTTGCCTTGCCAGGCTGCGAACAGAAATGCTTTTGACCATCTCCGTATACGGATCTCTTCGACGTGCTTTTCCCCACCTGTCAGGTCAGGGCTGTTCGATTTCAAAAGAGGAAGCTGTCTCCTCTGTCTCCTCGCCTCAACTGAGCAAGCTCCAGATCGTAGTGGGCAATACCAGACCTCAACAGCAAGCTCCAGATCGCAGTGGGCAATACCGGACCTCGACAGCAAGCTCCAGATCGCAGTGGGCACTACCGGACCTCAACAGCAAGCTCCAGATCGCTGTGGGCACTACCGGACCTCAACAGCAAGCTCCAGATCGCAGTGGGCAATACCGGACCTCAACAGCAAGCTCCAGATCGCAGCGGGCACCCGGCACCGACAGCTGCCAGAACAAGCGTCAGAACACTGTGCCAATCCGCATGTCCGCCTTTCTCAGGCTCTGTCAATACATGCACCCTGCTTTCTTCCAATTCGCGCTCAGTGTGGGAATCGCTCGAAGTGCAGCTTCTTTAAGTTGCCTTGCAGCAGCAAAGCCCTCTCGCTCACCAGCTGTGCTTGCTTCCATCTGGAGCCTTTCGGCTCTGGTTCGCGCTGCACGTGGACCGCGAAGCGGTGATCGGGCTGCGCGGCATGGCGTGCGTCCCACAACGGCTCGAGCGCTTCGAGGATTGCAACCCAGGCAGCAGCAATCATCCGCACAGCTGCCGTCAATGCAGGTGCAGAAGATTCTTTTGAATATGTTTCTGATACGAGAGTGTGTGTCACCAACATCGAGCAAAGGAGGATTTGTGTTTGTTATTTTACGGTTAGTTGCTGCACTTCTTAAAATTGTTTGCCAACCAACGAAAAGCGGACCACGCATATTCATGACAGGCCTTGTACTTTGGATTTGTCCAACGGTTTTTTATGGATGTGACATGGGTACGAGGGGTAAAGGTGTTTGTTTCCACTTGGGTTGAGAGCCTGTTTGCATGCCATCTTTGATTGGTTTTCACATGTGTTATCGTTTTTTGCGCGCAGGCAGTACAAACCAGAGCGTCCAGACTCCTGCCATCATGGTGCCAGGTGTGAGTTTTGTAGCCTGGATGACTTTGACAGAACTGTTTTCATGTGGTTTCTGGGCAGCGCATCCCAAGTCGTTTGGAATATATATTTTTTTGCGCATGGCCCGCCAAGCAATATCAACGTCCAAACCCTGGACATGCAAGTGTGCGCATGCGAAAAACACAACCGGTCAACCACCACAGAGCCCGACTGGTCCTTCAAAACATAGAGATTTGAGGCCCATTTAAGGCCCTAAGGTCTACGTTTGGGTGCCGTTTTTCTGCGGTTTTTATTGCTCTTCTCGGCTGACAAGGTCATCATGCCGAGCACAAGAGGCCCAAGCATCGTAGCCAGAGGGGGCGCCACAATTTACAGAGGAAGGAATACCAAGAGCTGCGCGAACACATGCCAGCGAAACTTGCAGAGATCATTGACCTAATCTACTTCGTGACCAATGGCGAGCAACAAAAAGTCAAGAAGTTCATGCAGTACTTGAAAACCGTCCTTGAGAAGTTCCAGGAAGCTGTTGAAGTGAAAGTCCTGGCTGCCGTGAACAACATTGGCCAGCAAGCACAGTGTTTGCGGCCTGACAACGCTCGTGTGCGAAGGACCTGCGAACCAGGTGTAGGTGAAAAGCAGGTTGATTTGGCCAGCCGCTACAAATGGCTCAGTGGTACTTTGCACCTCCTGGTGCGGAAACTCTTTGAGAGCAAAGAGCAAAGTGAGGTCGCTAGGCTGGAACTGATCCAAAAGCATGTGGAGATTTGTCTTCATCAACTTTCAGAAGAGACAAAAAGGCTGGAACAGCTCGCTGCTCAGCTTGGGGAGGCCCTTGAGCGCGTCCGACAGAGCTTGGGAGAGCCTGACGCATCAGCGGATGCATGGCTGGCACAAAGGATCTTTCGAGGCGCATGTGAAGAGATCCGAGAGGGACACTTTGATCTAGAATCGTTGAAAGAACTATGTGCAGATGCCAGTCGTTTGCTCTTGGACAAAATACTTGATGAGAGAAGGACGCAAATGCAGGAGGCTGTCAGCCTTAAAGACTTGCTGCAGCTTGTGCAGGAGGAGTTGAAAGAACAAGCCAAGAACATCTTTCCAGATGAAGAGTAACAAGGGTGGAGTGAGGCAGTGTCCATCGTGTTTGATCTTGGGTAGTAATATAGTCATGGCTGAATGCATTCTAGTACGCTTGCCTGCAGATCCCAAGTTGGGAAATTGTGCATTTGTACAGGTGGCTGCTCAGGTGGCTCTCTGCCTGATTTCAGCTCGTGCAAGATGAGTTGAGGAACAATGGCAGTGGTCGTGGGCTTTGGAAGCTTTCTTTGTGCCTGTCATGGTTGAAGGTTGTCCAGCGGTTTGCCGACAGCCTGCAATGACCTCAGATACTTTGGAGGGAATTCACCGCAACTGTGGAGAAAAGCCAATGAGCAGTGCTCGTACTCACGCCGACCTTACGGAGAAACGCATCACCCGAACATCAACACCGGTGCGGATCCCGTCTTCCGCGAGGACGTCGGGACGGTTCGCCAGGAGCTTCCGGTGCGCTTTGCTCGACGTCTCAAGCACATCGAACGAGTGGAACGCTGGGCTCCTTGGAGCGCCAAATGGGGGGCGGGTGGGAGGTCAAACGGTCGAAGCGACACGACCGCCATTGGTGTCTCTTTTTTTGGGGGGCGGGACCGCCTTGGAGGGAATCCATGGGGCGGAGAAGAACAATCAATAAACATCACAACTGACAGTCCCAGATGGTGTTCATGTCGGGACATATGGGACTGCCTGCTTGGGACTGCCTCTTTTGGGTTCACCAACGGGTAGGCCTCACGTCCGCAGACGTCGGTGCCAACGTCCGGAGTCGTTTGGGTTCATCAAGTCGACAGGACCATCCTGGGATGCAGCGGTCGTTAAGACAGGACCCTCCCCTTTGGGGTCTGTATATCAATATAGCCTCTTATAGAGGTTTAGGGTTTAGGGTTGTTCAAGAAAAAGCACCTGTTGAAGATTCCTCCAGAATGATTCATAGACCAGCCTCACCGGGGAGACCCGAACTGGTAGGAGACGTTGGCAGGTATGCGCTAGGTCGTTGGTGTTTCAAGGCCTGTGGACAGCGAGGTGGAGCGCTTTGCGCGGACAGGAGACACTTCGGCCCGTGGTCAAGCAGGTTAAGCCGACGGTCAGTGACGGTCCGGTCGGTCATGGTGAAGGCAGTTGGATCAGACCATCCTGGCCCCGTCAGATGTAAAGAACCTGAGTCACAGAACGCTTCTTCACCCAGAACCCCAAAGAACCTCGGGGTGTTCGGGATTCGCCACACAGAATTTTCCACACGGACCCCGACTCCCGACCCGCTTCGGGCCCGGATTCTCAGGGCAGGTAATTATATCGTATTGGACAGAGAATACATCGTAGGGTAGGGTCATTGGGGTCTATAAACCACCCTTTGTGTGGTCTCAGTATAGTTCACTTAGAGTTCACAGCCCGACCGACCTTCCCCAGTCCCTCACCAACCTACCAGAGCTCCCTTGAAGGGTGGCTAATGGACACTCCTTCATCTCTGAGGGTTGATTGTATCCCACAAGTCCAAACACCCTTCTTGAGTAGCGTTGTTGTGTGACCAGCATGAATATAATTAAGTCAAACTGACATGTCAATTGTATCGTTTGGGTCTGTCCGTTCTTACCTGTAACAGTCAGTAAACAATTATCACTATCCACTGAGGCCTTGGTTACTAGAATAGACCCAAGGTATACCCTGGAAGTCCAAAGACTATATGTTGCCTCAGTGAACCACCTAATTCAAGACCATTAGTTGTTTGATCTTTTTTGTGAAGTGCTTGACTCCCAAGACTCCCAAGGTATAGCAGTACAAACACCAAACCAGGGGCTCTGGAACTTGACGGAGATCCCGTGCATCGCCACCAACACACCGCTGACCGGCGCCGTTTCGCAGCGCCACGTGCCTTCCCAAGGATCGCATTCCAGAGCCCTGGCGTGTGTTGGCAGCTTTGGTTCACCTATACCTGGAACCATTTGGAACCGACATCATTTGACGTTTTTGATAGGACGTTGCACATCGTTGGACCATATTTGGGGTGATTGGTGGCCCCAAAATCGAGATCATTCACTGAGGTTCGCTGTTTTGGAAGAGATCCCACTGGCACCAAGCAACAACAATTATAGCCTAGACATTTATTCGTAGTACAGAAATGTGTGGTTGGTAGTTTACCTCTTTTCAAGAGATCTTCCAACAAAACTGTTCCATGATGTTCAAAAGTTTACTTTGGGCTCTTGGTTTATTCTCCACCAAGTCTCGAAGGGGTCGGACCGGACCTCCCCCGATGGAGGGATGGGGGTCCGTGGAAACGGGAAAGGTCCGGACCCGATAAGCAAAGCCGTGTCCATTGGAGAAGAGTCCGGAGTCTTGGAGGAGGTGGTCAGTCCAAAACCAGGACCATGCATGGACCATGTGACTGTGGCTGGGTCGATGTGAAAAAACAGGATATAGCCCCCCCAAAACGACACACGCAGGCCTGATATGCTGCTGGAATGGACTTCTGTTTGATCCTCTTTCCGTGTCCACCGAAACGAACGGCCTCCCAACGGTGGCGGGTCGGAGCACCGAGTTACGGAGCCTTGACCGCTCGTAAAAACCCCGAGCACCGGTGGCGGATCTGGAGGTGAAGCTCCGATTTTCATGTCATCATCTACCAGCCCAGATAGGATCCAGAACCCTCATCAAGCTGAGCTGTTTGAGGGTATGAATGCCTTTGTTTTTTTAGAGGGTTGGTCACCCCCGTTCTCAGAGGTCGGATCCCAGCCCTCCTCATCCGCCTTTGATCTCTAAGGAGCTCATGGATCTCCATACCATGCACGTGGAATCCTTCAAACAGCTGCGCCTGTCGGATCCTTCGAAGCCCTCTGCCTATGCAGAGGCGCGTGCCCGTGGCGACCGAGACGACCGCGGGACTGGAGACCTTGTGCGTTGCAGAATCGGTTCCAAAGCACACGATTTCGAACCGTTTCCCCAGCTTTTGGTCAAGCCTTTGGTCCCAAATGAACACTCAGACGCATATTGGTTGTTTGAGGTCTGGTTTTGATGGGCTGCTTGTGCTGTGAACGGAGCGTTTGGGCCATCAAATACGGTGTTTGTGGTCGAAGCAAGTGATTGGAGACGCACATACCCAGTCACTGCATCACCATGCAACACCTTTCCCTTTCTTGGGGTCACCATGCAAAACCCCACGAAATAGGCCAAAGAGATCAGCTCCAGCTTCTTCAAAGTGACCTCTTTGGAGTTGATCTTTTTGTGACCCTTTTACAGGCCTGTTCGTGCCCAGGGCCCAGGCCCAACTGGTATATAGGACGGTCACTTTGAAGAACCAGGAGAAGAGCTGGTAGATCGATCGATCGATGAAACGGTGTTCTTCCATGAGAGGCGAGACACCATGGCACACCGGAACTCGCCTCCCCACGGCGTGACACCGCTTCGGCAGGCCGACACCGGTTCGGCGTGGCGTGACAACGACCACCGGCTTATAGACTAATCTACTCGACCCATGAGTTGGGGATCTCCCTGGGTAGCACGGGGCCCGAACCAAACCATGAAAAAACGTGTTCATATACAAACACCCTGTCTTTTTGCTAGGGAAAAGCCAGGTTTTTGATGGGCCAGACGTGGGTACACCCAAAAGACCCGAACGAGCGGAAAGCCTCGGACCTCGACCGCCTCTCCGCCGCCATCCGCCGCCATCCAGGCGATTCTGGAGATCCGACAACGTCACAAGCGCCTGCCGCGGCTCTTCGCTGAGGTCGGCGGAGGGCTGCTTTTTTGGAAGGGGTAGAAAAGACAAGAGAAAGTTAATATGTCCAATAACCTATTCTATAATATATGATCTGATATATGAAATGGTCCCCACTTGGAAGTAGATGATTGGAGTGTTGGGTGGTTTGTTCGGTGGTTGGAGAACTCACAGAAGGGCTAGTGAGGGTTCAAGAGCGTTTTTACCTCCTTTTCCCACTGCCCTTTCAGGCCGTGAAACGCATCGCCTCGATCAACGAATCAGTGGATCAGACGGAGGCGGTGCTGATGGGTTTCGGCCGTTTTGGAGGAGGGTTTTGGAGGTTTTGTGCCAACGACGATGATTTAGGAGGAATTCTAAGTAGGGTGTCAAAACCAGTGGTATTTTCTGGTATTGTTACAGAACATGGGGACCACCAGAGTGCGTGTTTTCTATGAGTTTTGTATTATGTTGTTCAAAGATAACCTGCCTGAATGTCATTTGTGTTGTTGTTTTAATCTATATTGTATTTGTTTATTTGAGTCTGATCAATCATTAGAATTGTATAAAGGAGAATTGAGAATGGCATTGTATGATAGAAGAGAGTTTTGGATAAGGTATGCTTGTACGTAATGTTTGTACGTAGTCGTTGATTTTATGAAGGACTGTGCGTTCCAAAAAAAGCAAGGTATTTTAAACCAATGATACCATTTGAATATGAATATCCCCAATTCTTCTCAAGAACGATTTCCTGAAGGAAAGGCCTGAAACGATTAGGGTTCTTTAAAGGACCAATCCTAGGGGCACAAAGACGGCTGGAAAGGTGCTGTGCAAACGCGGCACAGAGCTACATGACGCACCCTCGCAGTTCCGCGTTCGTTTTGGGCGGTGGAGTGGGGCGATCGTTCGCTTGGTTTTTCTCTGTAAGAATATGGCCGAATTGACAGCCGCTTGGTTTATTGTTTGGCTGGTGGATTAGACGTTTCAAGGACGTGAACTGAGTTTACCTGTAGAATCCTTAAGCCTCCAAAACGTATTTTTTTTCAAGCTGAGATTTCACCCACCAGCATCCATCAGCAACTTTGCAGGCCCGAGCCCCCCAAGTTGTATAGATTGAGTTTTGCCAGGTTGAGTTTAAACCTCCCAAAAAAAGAACATGCACGCATTCAATGATTGTGCCTTTGCTATTGCAACTTGTGTGTTGTCAACTAAGTTCTCATACTCAGTCGTTGGAACATGTGCCTCTCTCAGAAAGGCATGAACTTCGAAATCGATGCGAAAGAAATGCACCTTTCCTCTCACAACCTTTGCTCGCCAGGTGGCCCCTAAGGATCTGAGCAACTTTCGATATGGTTCACCTCATCAGTATGTAGAGATGTTGAATATGTTCATAGATTTTGCACAAACCATGGAAAACGATACCAGAACACCAAAAACGATACCGGAACATCAAAAAACGATAGCTTTACAGCTATTCCACTTTTTCATGTTACAAGGGTTTGGATCATCGCTTGGACCTGAAAAGACACGGTTCGGCGGGTGTTCACCCGCCTGCCCCTCCGATTTCATCTACCAGCCTTAAGGATCCGGACCCTCAAAAACAAGCTGTTTGAGGGTACCACCCCCTGTTTTCACCAGAGGCTTCCCCCCCCTGCACAGGGTCCGATCTGACTGAGTCAGGAGGAACCCAGTACCAACTTGGAGCTCTGGGCTGAGACGTTCCTCCGCTCGCGCGTCTCGACCGAGCTGCTCATGCCGCCCGGTAAAAAAAAGGTTGGAGGACGTCATGTTTTGTCATGTTTTGTCCGGCAGAAAGGGAAGCACCTGGAGTGGCTGAGCAGGTGAGTTCCAAGATGTTTGGTATGCACAATGCCAAAAGATTTCCAAGATAAAATTGTAGTCTTCTGACCAGTGTACAGAAAACTCAAGTGAGCAACGTCATAAACCTCTATCAAAGAATTTAGGTAGGACTTAAGATTATGAATCTGTGCGAAAGGAAAACTGCAGTTGGGGAAAGCTTGGCGAAAGGTTTGGAGAAAGGCTCTGATTTTTTGATGAATGGATTTTGTTGCGAAAGGGTTGGCGAAGAGGTCTTCAGTACAAAGCATGTCATCCAAAGATTCATGACAACCAGGCGAAAGGTTGGCGAAAGGTTCGCGAAGATGTGGCGAAAGCAGTGGTTGCAGATTAGGAATGATTCCCCTTTGCTGATACATGCTGATACTTTTCTTAGATGTAAGTAGCAGAAACTCGGCGAAAGGGTTAGCTAAAGAGGTTGTCGGGTGAAGTGGGTCGGCGAAAGCAAAACATGCAGCCGCGAAAGCGTTGCGAAGGGATTAGCGAAAGGTTGTTATAATCTTAATAAAAGTTCCGGATGGTTTTTGACACCGCTCAAGTGAGCATCCGGCACCTTGAATGTAAAATGCTTTCCCTGAGCATCCACCCCTTCAAGAACCGCAAATTGAGATGCCGTGTGCAGCGTCTGCAAAATCTGAACTTCGCAGCTTAAAGCTAATGGATATATCGAAAGGAGCAGGCTATCATCTGTTGGTGGACCTACCCGCGAGGTCAAGCTCCATGGTGTTGGGGCTCCCGGTTCTGACCCATCCCCATATATAAAACGCTGTTGTGGTGTCCAGGTCATTTGTGCTGGTCAAAGACCAGGAATGATCAGGTAGACATGTCGGACACTGTTGGTCATCTAGGCGTGAACAACACATTTTCAGGGCGAGATCATAATTGTTGCGTGAACATCACGCGTTGATGCTTTGACATTGTATATAACCCCCAAATAGATAGAAACGTATTTCCCCACTAAACATGTTTTGGAAACCGTGTCTATCTATTTGGGGATCACTTATATACATTACAATCTGATCAATATGGATGTTGGACGTTTGCCATGATCATGGAACACCCTTGCAATTTGTTCCTTTCATGTGTCTCCAAGAAGATCTATTTCTTTCGCTCATCCATTCCTGCTCCCGCGCCATGCTGCGCCAAAATCCGGACCGCTAACGCGTCGATGCGAACGCACGCCGCGCGTGTCCGAGGTCCCACTTCGAGGCCTGTGCGAAGCAGAGCTCCACGGCGGCTCGGTGGAGAGGGGTGAAACCCGTCCTGTGCGCGGTGCGTACGGTTGAAAAGCACCTAGGTGTTGTTTTTCTTTTTCGGAAGCACCCCGCTTTTTGGTTGGGGTCACGTCCCATTTTTCGAATTGGTACCTTTTGTGCTGATGAAGTGGGGTCCAGGTGTTTTCTTTTGGGATGCAGGAAAACTCCCATAGGTGCCCAATGAGTGTGACGACTTTGGGTGTTCGATATGGGACATTTCCATGTCCGACACCAGGAGAAGGAAAGAGAACAGAAGGTTTCACCCGTGGGCACTCATGGACATCTGCACCAAAAGATCCACCTCTCCTCCTCTAAAGACGAAACTTAAGAGAGTCAGATGGCTTTTCGAGTCGTACCTGACGAGATCGAAGAATGAGCTAACCGGTTTCAACGGGGACCTGATCCGGAGTCGGACATGGGATGAGGGTCCGGAGTCTTGGAGATGGGCAGTCTTATGCCTTACGCTGTATGTGTTGTTTCTTGAAGTGAACAGCTGGCTGCTGTGAACACAGCTGGTCAAGGATCACTTGCATCGACCCCCGCTTCTTGGGAACTCTCACCCTGAGTCGAGCTCAACAAAGAAACCCTCCTCCATCATCTCCATCCCTCAGAGTTGACATGAACCTCCGTTCGCTTGCAGAGCTGCCTATCCTCGTCGTCCGTCCATGGACGGCGCATGGGGAGCCACAGCGGACCTGGAAATAGATCGGTAGATGCAAGTGCCAGGAGTCTCCATGGAGTTCGGTGGGTTTGCCTCGTCCCATCCAGTGAGTGGAGAATGAGCACCCCGACCTTCCATGGAGTTGGGGCACCCCTTCTTGTGACTCCAGGTGGAAGTGTTTGTTTTGGAATCGATGCCTGTTTGCCTTCAGTTCGGCCATTAAGAATCCGAACGGGCCTACGGATATGTGCTGAGCGCTCGGGTAGCACGGGTAGCTTCGAAGACCGCGTTGTTTCCAGGATCCGAAGATCTCCGCCCACACTCGGATGTCACACTAAACAATGTGGGATTCCTGGCCAACCATTGCTTCAATATGATCGTTATATGTCAATTATACATGTTGTTTACTTATACCAAAGAACCAATCCCAGACACTCCATGGGACTGCCATATATGCTGATCAGTTGGGGTGGTTTTGGTGGTCAATGTAGGCATATGTAGGCATATATGGCATACGTGGAGTGTCTGGGAATTGTTTTACTTTAGGATTTGAGACGACGAACACCGACGGTCCTCCGGGGAGCTCTTTCGATGGTTTTTTCTCAGAAGGCCAGGCGCCCTAGCAGGGTGAGCATAGTGGGGTCCTTCGCATCAGGTGGGCTTTGGACTTGGGTTTCTGGCGTAAGCAACATGCAGATTCATGTACCAGCACCGGACCTATATGGCTGTTAGTTGAGGGTTGTTGGACCCTGTCTCAGGTCGAACCATTGGTGACCTGTCGGAGGGTCCTGGTATATGGGTGTGGTTTCAGAGGTTCGATGGCACCCTTGGGCCCCCCAAGTTGGGTTTCTATGGACTTCTATTTATGGACATCTTGGATCATCTGGCGGGCATCCACTCTGAAACCAGTGTAGATTCAGAATTGATGGCATCTAGATTCTCCAGATCCGAACCTCGGCCGGTGTTCGTTCTCCACCTCATGCGTTTTTCCGGCGCAGAAAACGTCATTCTGAAGATGCGTCCTTATACTTGGACGCTCGACGTGCGTGGCGGTGCGTGGCACTGCCAAGGAGACCAAAGTGGGAATCATCGACATGAAGTGCCTGCGACCAGCACCGATGGGGGAAAGAGGAGTCAATGATCGATGGGGAGGAGAGAGTGATCGACCGAGGGCGCGGGTGGTTCAGAGGTGTTCAGTGATCCAGGTGGTGCGTAAGGTGATCTTATGTGATCTTGCTTTTTGCCAATGGCGTCAATCCCCGAGGCTGGGGAGTTTGCGTGTTTTTTGTGGGAGCAGCTTCCTTCCAAGTGATGGAAGGACTGGAAGGAGCCATTGGATTTGGCTTGCAGTGGTTTGAAGCCGCAGAGCTGGTGTCCTGGAAAGATGAGTTTGAGGGCCAAAAGCATGCATGGCCAATGGCACTGCTGGAAAATGGCTTAGACTTAGAACACTTAGACAGGCTTATCGACAGCGCAATAGCATGGGGAAAGATACAGTAATATATAAATTTACCCAGACGCTCCATGTAGTGAATGTAGGCCATATTCGCATAGATGGAACGTTTGGGATATAATCCTTTTACCCAATGATAGAGCAAGGGTGTTGTACACGTGTCATGTTGGGTATGTTTGTCTTGCGCAAAACTTTCGGTCTGAGCGCAGCAGGCACGTCTGCATAGGATGTTATTTGAGCGCACCGTTTTGGACCCAGACAGGGTTTCCTCCTCAGGTCAGGGGTCATGAGATGTCATGAGGAGAGTCTGGTGCTTCTCTGCAATCCCTAGGCCCAAACGGTTTTGAGAGTCCCTAGTTCGGGCTGTTGCTGCAGCCCGAGTTCGCGCACCAATTCGGCGACGGCGACGGCGAAGTCCTGAGGTGCGACCCATGGCAGATTTGTCTTTCGGCCGTGCTGGCGACGCAGGAGTCGGGTCGGTTGGAACTGGAAGGGATCCGATGGAGAGGTCTTTTTTGGAGCATAAGATACCTGGGATATATTGGGATACAGAACACCCAGTCCATGCAATTCTACTTGCTTCACATGGAATTGGGGCATCTTCACATGTGACGGGACAAACTGGTGGATTTGATTCATTTGGTCGGTTTGAGGGGCTCAGGGAGCTAGCTAGCCAGATTCTGCTTGTGTAGAAAGACAACATGCTTGGGCGCTGAAGGCCCTAGATCTAAACAAAACTTCCAATATCTTCCAATGGATGCTTTTATATGCTTTTCTTTAAATGCAGAATAACACTGTTCAATAGAAGCAGAGCTCGTTCAATCATGTCCAATCACCAACGAATTGCTAAGGAGTTACTTTACACATCTTTCAGCACTGGTTCGAATGGATCAGGAAGGTGGACACCCAGGTTCTCGGCCCTATGCTTGTCCTGCGCCGTCTTGCGCCTTTGCATGCCTTCGCTCCGTCCGAAACTCGCTGCACCGCACGGAACGACGGAGGACGGGCCCTATGCTTGTCATATCGAGACGGAGGGCCCGCAGCTTGACGATCCAAAGAGAGGAAGGGTCAACCAGCAGGGGTCACTCGAGTTCTAGAGGATTCTAGAGGTGTGTGTGTGTGTGTCCACCCCTGGACCAAGGGTTTCCTACCGCCACTTCAACCACCTGTTGTTTCCCACAATCTCACCCGCAGGGGCGTGTGACACTCTTCTCCTATCACACGCAACGAAGCTGTGGAGAAGAGTGGGAAGGGAAACTTGGCCAGTTCCTGTACCTGCGACGCAACTTTTGGACAAGCTGTC